TTTACTAGTACTGCTGCTGCTGCTGCTGCTGCTGCTGCTGCTGCTGCTGCTGCTAGCCGATTTCGGCATCGCCAACGCCAACAGCATTAACCCTCCTTGGTCGTCAAGGTTCAGGGTCAATAGCTCTTTAGTTGTTGGGGTTTGGCCCGCAATTTCATGGCTGTCCGCCCTGAAAGCGCCAAACCCGATGCCCCTCAAAACCAATGAACCGATTGAATGTCCCCACCAGTAGAACCGCCCCGGAGTGCCTTCCCAGAACGGCCGAAACTGCCCACAGAACCTGCCCGTAACCCGTCCCGGAACCCGTCCTGGAGCCGGTCCCAGAGCTTGCCCCAATCTGTCCAAGACATTTTGGCTGAAGACCTGCTGGGCGGAAAGATCCTCAACTACGCCAACAAACAACTACGTAAACACACAACTTGTTTGCTTTGCCTGCTCGCCTTGAATGAGGTCGTCATCCAAGGCTCGAGGAGGAGGCCTGCTAGAAGCGAAGAGACCTGATGTAGGGTTTGATTCCACTGATACTCTGGGCGTTGTGAAGATCTTTGCGATGTCTACTAGACGCCCCCGCATCGTCATCAGCGCAAGCGCCAGCATGAGCATCATCGCCACTCTCGCCACGATGACAAGCAGCAGCAACATCCTGATTGTCAATTCGACGGCCCCATTCTCCTCCCCATCAACATGATGAGCATCATGCCGGTAAAATTTGTGATCGCCACCAGAGCCGTCAGCATCGCCATCAGCAGCTCTCTGTCATGGTTAGGTTAGATCAGAATCGTCATCATCATCATCATCATGGTCGTGATCAGCCGCAGCATTCCTTTCCGTCAATGTCGCCGTTTCTGAGCCAATTTTGAAGCTATCCTTGTGAGCTGCCCTCGAGACTTGGGCCCAGAGGCCAGAGCTCAATGGTCTGAAGGCAGAAGTCCTGGATGACAGTCGGCGGCTTAGTGGGTTTCGGGTTTAGGGTTTAGGGCGTCTTGAGTCTTGATTGAGAAATAGGAGGAGTGGGGATTGGGGGGGGGAAATTTGTTGCACACGGCGAGTTTCGAGAAGTTTGTGTGTTTGGTCCCTACACCCTCCAAAACTAACTTGAGCCTTAACATCCCGCAACCCCTTATGCCCTCAAGCCCAAAAGCATAGCTACTAGCTGCCGTAAAGTCTCGAGTTGAAAGATCGAATCCATCCTTTGCCTTTGACAGCAAGTGTCACCAACAGCGATATATCTGTTGGCCCAAGCCAAAGACTGTAAACTCTAGGCAATACCAACATTTTCCCAAGCTGGTCTGCTAGTTTCAAACATGAAGCGTTGGGTTTGCTGTTCGACTTTCTGGAGGGCGATCATAGTTGTTCGGATTCAGATAATCGCATGGTTTAAGAAAGGAGGTTTTGAAAGATTGAGACTAACAGGGCTGGGTGTCAGGAGCAAAGGTCCGTTAGGGTAGTCACCTGCAGTAATTTTGGCACCTGAATAGTTACCAACACAACTTGGGGATTCCTTAGCTATAGTATGTTATACCGCAAAACCCTATTCTAATTGTTGAGGCCCGAATATGACTTACAAGTGCGTTGCTCTGCTTGCCCCGAAGTACAGGCATCGACAAGGCTGGGCGCGTAACCATCCGCGTCTTCCGCCCAAATGACCTGCATCATGGCAGCATGGGCATTCTACGGCGTTCTACGGTCGATGATAGAAATCCTGCATTACCCATAATAAGGAATATAACATAATTCCCATAGTTTAGGATCCTTAAGGTAACGCAGGATTTATATCATCAACAGTATTTATCGGTTTGGGGTCGCAGGTGCTGGTTGGGACTCTCAGGGTGTTTTGTCTCTTGTGTGTGGGCGGGGTTGGGGTTTAAGGTTTAGGGTTTAGGGTTCAGGGTTTAGGGCTTAGGGTTTAGGGTTTAGGGTGGGGGGATCATCGCAATTTTGTGTGTCTGGGGCTTCGGCGTTGCCTCGGCGTAGATTAGTTTTCGGTTCGATGCTCAAGAACTGGTTTGTGTTGGTTTACTGCTGGGGTTGTTATTGCCCTTCGTTGTGCAGAGGGAAGTCTTGGCGCCGCACGCCCAAAGCCACCTTTGTTGCTTGAGGGTTTCAGCGCAGCAGCTATGACTTCAGAGCCGGAATGTTATTGGTACGACGGTCCGGCCCGCAACCCCTACACAGCTAGTAAAGTCTACCACCACAGACCCTTAGTTGGCTCAAGCAGAGAGGCGAATAGACGGCTGAATTGACCCCAATTGCACCGCACCGGCTTCTCTGCATCATGGTCCTTGTCCGGGTTCTTGCGCAACAAAAAAATACGGCAAGCATGACTGCGACAGGCATAAAAGCAGCCCTTGTTGTCGGTTTCAGGAGAGCTGCCCGCCGATTTACAGTCCTTTTTCGGCTGGTTAGCACTCTAAACCCTAAACCGTAAACCCTAAACCCTAAACCCTAAACCCTAAACCCTAAAGCCAGAGCTGTAGGCCTCCACGCACAACACGCAAAGCGAAACCAGAGCTGAGGAATCGCGAAGGCAAAGGTTCGCGAAGGCGTTCCTGCAAATCGGTTTGAGTACTTTCGGATCGCCAGAGCATCTTTTGAGTGCCACTATAGGGCTTTGTGGTTATAGATTTTCGGGGTTGCTTTTAGCCCGATTGGGTTTCGGAGCTATAGTTATGGAGCTTCAGCTCATAAAGTATCGCTTTCTGAACTCTGGCACAAGAATATGCTGCAGAGTTTGATTGCAAGACTGAGGCTTGCGATTTTGATTGAGGGTCGTGTAGGACTAGCCGAGCATGCCAGTCCTGAAGTTAAGCTTCAGAAACCGTCCCAACACACGCATCTCTGAACTGAAAGCAATGAAACTAATGAACACTAGCCGTAAACCTTGAAAGCTAAAACTTGTATTGGAATTCAGGTTCAGGACTTTGATGTGCCACCGGAAAATCCCTGGCTCTTCCCGGAGCCTTCCCATTGACATCCGTCTATATAGAACTTCCTCTGAGCTCACGAGCTTCGTCCAGCAAAAAGTTTTGGACCTTCCCTCTGCGCCCACCCCAAAGCACACAAGTCCAAATATCGAGTCCTGGAACCCTCAATCTCCACTGTAAGTCTTTGGCACATCGATCCCTGAACCCTAGAACCATCTGGATTAAGCAGGATGTCCCTTCTGCCCTCTCCAATTCATCTATAGCCCGTATCCTGCATTTCAACTGCATCAGCGAATTGACCTTTGCAAGACTGGGGAAGGTTCAGGGTAGTGGTCGGGGTGGCAGTATACTCTATGTAGCTTAATCAGAGTTCGAAGCTACTTAGAAGTATCATGGCACTTTACAGGCCTACTTGTGACTTCCCGCGAACCTTCTGGAGTTTCGGGTTCCCTGAAGCGGCATGCGGTGGTGGGCTCGGCCAAATCATCGTTACGGGACCCAAACTAGTAATGAGAATTATAGTATCTTTCTTAATCCAGACTTTTCTTCGTATGCCCAGCCAGAGAGGATGCAGATCCGTGCCACGCACCTCGCTTCCCGGCGATCAGCGCCCTCCTTGTCGCGGCCTTGAGTCACGACAAGCTCAATGATGGTTGGGGTGTTGAAGTCAGGTATAGGTGTTGGGTTTAGGTTCAGCATTCCAATGAAGAGGTAGTACGGTTCTGGCAACCGTTGGTATGCTGCGCTAGAACGCTTCGACATCGCCTCCAAGCACGGTAAGCACGGGTGAACCCTGTCCAAGTACTCCTTATAACGGCACATGCATTGAGCTTTCTCTGTCTATCTTTCCGTCTCTTTCTCTTTCCGTCCCTCGCCCGCTCGCTCGCTCCCTCTCTCCCTGCCCCTCCTCCCTCCTTCCCCTCGCTCGCTCGCTGCCTCTTTCTGGCTCTCTGGCTATCTTGTTGTCTCTGTCTGTCTATATATGTACAGCAGGTATGCATGTCACCGGCTGTTCTACAGAACTCATTAAAGACCTGCAGATCGCCTCCGGCACTGTACAAACCCTAGCAGCGCACCTTCGCTTCCTTTCCAGCCCAAATTGCACTTACACCGGAATGCGCGTGCCAGAGTCACTGCGATTTTCGAATCACTCAGAAGTTCCAAGAATCTGGCGAAAACTGAGTTCAACATTTGCGAGCCACACCTATTTTCGCTATTTTCGACATAAGGTCATATGCATTAGGGTTGTAATGGGGCTTTACAGCGTTGTGACAGCCATGTCAAGTAGGGGGTATGGTATTATGGCTTTGGTGAGTGTGTACTAGAATTGTCTCTCTTTGGGAGAATTAGCGAGTGTACATGTGGGCTGTCCTTGGAAGGGGGGTCTTTAGCAAGTAGCACCTTACTTCAACGTGACACTATATATTGATAGCGATCCGAGTTTGTAAGCTTTGTGGCATTATTCGTAGTCTTCATGCTTATAATTTCCTACTTCTCAAAGCCTCCACCCGAAGAGTACCCCGTTGGCCGAAATATTAGACATCAAGGCCTCTCAAGAAGTAAAGCCCGAACCAGGAAAACGATACTCTCGATACGGACTCCATCGTACAGGGCAAAATTGTGTTCCGTTTTAGGAACCCAAAAGAAGGCGGCACTCTTACATAAAACGGACCCCGGTTTAGGGTTTAAGGCTTAGGGTTTAGGTTATGGACCCTAATTTGGAGAACTACCCACATGCTTCCCTTGGAGTCAGGTCTGCGGCGGGTGCATGTGCAGCCTACGTCGGATCACAGGCAGTTGTAGAGGGCTCTCAGGGTTTGGGCCCGGTTTAGTTGGTTTTAGGGCTTGGGGGGTTGGAGTTTAGAGTTCAGGAAGTAGGATATGGGGGTTCAGACCTTTAGTGCTTAAGTGTTTAGTCGGGCATTTTGGGTTTGGGGCTTTGTGTGGCTTCAGTGAATTAGCAGGTTCAGGTGTAGGACTCCATCTACAAAGATGCAGGGAGCCGCCATAGAACGCTTTTGAATCCAAAACTATCGGGGTTCAACATGTTCTGAATTGTAGTTAGAGTATCCCCTCGCAGTCCCGACATACATATAGTATAGCAGCCCAAGCCCTCAACCCCCAAGCCCTAAACCCCTAAATCTAGGACATTTTCAGGGGGTAGTTACCGTTATAGGAGCCTTATAGAAGGTCTATATACCTTATAGCAGCCTGATAGAAGGCCTATATACCCTAAACTCCTCACCTGTAATTTCCTTCAACTAAACCCTTCTCATATACCCGACCAAACCCCCATAACGCCGAGGAGCTGGGCTGGGTCCTGCCATTTTGATCCCCGAGGACCCTGCACTCTCAACTTAAATGATTGGACTGAGCAGCTTGGATCGTCAATCAGGTAGCTAGGGTTATGATTAAGCTAACTAGAAGTATCACAGTTACAAGCAACCATAGGGTTGCAAGTAATAAGCTAACTATAACTCAGGCACTTAGAACCCGGTCCCGGAACTCGTCCACGGCGCCAGGCACCACCCAGCCGACCATGAAGAAGGAGAGGGAATCACCACTTCTGGAGACTGGCCATTACCCTCCCAATCCCCATTAAAGCATCGAGGTTGCTGGGCGTTGTGCCCAGCCCTAAACCCGAAAGGCTTTACAGTAAACGCACTAAGTGGAAGGGATGCTCGTGACGCGAGCTCAGAACGCATCGAGGTCTCCACGAGCACAAGCAGCAAAGACTCTAAACTCTACACAACTGCGGTTTCGGTTTCGTCGTCGTTTCACTGCGAGCTTTCCCAAGCAGACTGCAGAATGCAGCTGTGACGTGGAAGCACAGCTTTTGCCATTGTGCATGCGGAAAATGCTTTTTGTCGGCCCCCAGCATTCTCTGCTCTCTTTGAACCCCCACCGCCTAAACCGCAAGCCCAAAGGATTTTTGGCAGGAGGAGATGACAGAGCAGCTCCGAAAACAAAGAATGTCCCAAAGCCCTGCTCAGGTGGAGCTTCTAAGGTTGAGGGGGTGTTGGTTCAAGGGTTCTATAAGGGTACTGTAAGGGTACGAGAAGGGTTCTGCAAGGGGACTATAATGGTTGGTGAACATGTTTCAGAGGCTGGGTTCAGGGTTTAGGGTTTAGGACCAACCTGGAAACTGTACCTAAATCTGTCAAACCCGAAAACCTACCTGCCCCAAACCACAAATCTTGCAACCCGACACCAGGAAATGCAAGGAAGCTGCGAGCCGACCAGCATCGGTCAGCCACACCACTAAACTGTACGAGGGGCTGTAGGGTTTACACGGTTTAGGGTTTAGGGGTTTAGGGTATGCATGATATTGCTAGTAATACGAAATAGTTGCAGTAATGATAACAAGACTCGTAGGTATTAGGCGTCTTGTCATAGCGATACTAGAGAGTCCTAGGAACACTACTGGTTTTCAAGGGCAGCGCACGTGAAGCTGAGCATATCATATCCTAGCCCCCAAACTCGCAGGTTTCACTTTGTTTTTGTTCATGGTTCAGGAGGCAGGGTGGAGGGAGTGAGGAAGTGAGGGAGGGAGGGAGGGAGGTTTTTCATCGCTTGAGGGCAAACGCCCGTCCACTGTACAGGTTCTATGAAGCCTCCCTGTCTCCACTTGATGCTCGCAACCATGCTCCAAAAAGGTAGGTTAGTGGAGCCACAGATAAACCGGAAGACGTAAATCGTGGGTTTAGGCCCCCCCCGACCCCACGCCTGAAATGCAAGACCTTTCAAAAGGTCCAAAGCTTCCCTAAACCCAAAGCTTCTTTTGCGACTTTAAGCCCTAAATCCCAAGCCTTACATCCTGAAACCGTAATCCCTAATTCCTACACCCCAAACCCGAAATCCCAATCCCTAATCCCTGAACGTACATAAACCCTACTCCTTAAGCTGCGGGCCTCCTCATTCGGGCCATGGCGCAGCGGGTGTCTACGGCCCAAATGAGGCCACAAAGTCTGTCTCTTGGCCAAACGCAGCGCCTTACAGTATGCTTGAATGGAACAGAGCAGAAGGAACCTTCTAAGAAGTAGAACTCATTACTAATTTCAAGCCCCCATCTTACTTGTGGCCCCTACTTCCGTCTTAAGTAGAAGGAATATCGGATCTGTTGGGGCGCGGTCCTTGTTGGTCTCGCGGCTCGGGCTTTTGGATTCCGACGTTTCGGCTTCAGGCCTTCGGAATTGATACACTGAAGTAATATAGGGGCCTTAATTAGAATAGTTTTCTGAGGCCCGTTATACTGTACTTATAATAAGGAACCCCCCAAATACTATAGGCAATTATTTAGGCCTCTATAGTAACCCGAAACCCTCAAAACTGTCCCCTAAACGCTAAACCCAAGCCCTATACTAAAAACCTTAAAACGTGCTCATACCCAAAATCCATAATCCTGAACCCCAAACGGCCCTCAACCCTCAACGGCCCTAAACACTTAAATCGTAAATCCGAATGCTCTTTGGGTTGAGGTCTTGATGAGCCCTTCTTCGATCCTGGCTTCCAGCATTTAACTTCCTTGTAGGGGATGCAACAATTATAGAGGTTTGGAGGTATATGATCCCATAGCTATACATGGACTAAAACGGGAGAATACTTCTAATTGAGGGTCATGCATATCATTTTTTGGAAGGAGCCTCAGATGGTTTCGCAAGGGTCTTACCTACTGGGTTCTTGTGAAGGAACTTGACTCAATAATCTATATGGTATATAACAGGTATGGCCTTCTCATTAAATCACATTCAACTCAGTTCCTCAATGACAACCCCTTTAGACCCTTGTAAAACCCTACGAAACGCCAAAGGTGAAAGTCCCGGAAGAACCCCATAACACCTCCCTAGAAACTCCAACGGCAGATCCTGAAGAAGAACTCAGCCTGAGGCACTGCCAGGAGGCCGCAGTGGCATCATGACTCTCCGGGCGAAGATGAGGCTCGCGACAGCGAAAGCAGATAGACAATAAAATAGTGGACCTTGATCATTGGAACTGGGCAAACGGGTATGTTATAGTATAACCTGTCACCGGTTATTCCGACCCCTTTGGGCGCTTTACAGGGTTCTCACTAGGAGCCCCGAAGTGCCCGTTAAAGGATTTTCATATTCCTGGCCAAGAGATAACTAGAGCTGCAATTTATAGCACGGGGTCGGTGGCCGTGTATGGGTTGATGTTAGAGTTGTCCGGTTTATGTTTGCGGGGTTTGCGATTATTTAGGCAGTCGGGCTCGTGGTGATCAGTCCCAGAACATGAGCTGCTCGAACCCTGGACCTTGAACATCGAACCTCCTCACTCAAAGCCCTAAGTCCGGAAACCTTCACTTCAAAAAGCCTTAAGCCCCAAAATGCAGCCCTTGAGCCCTAAATCTTAAACTTAGCACATCAACGCCAGAGGCCAAGACACACTCGAAACCCTGTGTCTCGACAAGACTGAGCAGGGCGACAAAGCCGACAGCGAGAAGGGCAAGACGAAAACTGTGATGACGCAGATTGCCAGCCACGGCAAGACGGGACTGCCAAACCTGTTGACCCGGTCCAACAGTGACTTGTTCGTGATAGAACAGGGCATGGCCTTCATCCTCCATTGAGTGAGGCTTGCGATGGTGAAGGGCAATACCTTGAAGTGTGAAGCGCCAGACGAAGAAATGTTCACTCATGCGGTGGAGACTGCACAGAGAATCCACGACTATTCGGAGATGTCCTTTTGCAAGCTGCTCTCGATCACAAGCCGCACGGCTCAGGGTTTGGAACTACTGTAGGAGTGTTTAGGAGTCTAGAGTTTAGGTTGAGGGCTTAGAGCTGTTTATGGTTGATTGTTCATGAAGGGGTTGGCTGTCCAGATGTTGCGGAGGGGTGCATCAGTACATCCTGCGATCACGACAGCCAGAGAGTATAGGCTCTTCCGCGTAGCCCTGCGCGGCATCCGAGACCCAAACGGTGACTGGTCCGAAAATGAACCTTAACCCTCCACCAGCGAAAGCGAAACTCTGGAGACTCCCCAAAGCCTAAAATAGGGGCCTAAATAACTACCAATACTATTTTGCGGGCTCCTTATTAGAATGTAGGGGCTAATTAATTACCAATACTATTTTGGGGGCTCCTGTTTAGAATTATAGTATATCGGGCCCAACATTATCCCGCTTCTGCAGCTGCGCCGCATTCGTGGTGTTACACACGGGCGTCTACACTGCGCATGTGGCGACGCCTGGAACTTAGATCCGGATGGTGGGTATCGGTAGTTCTCTGAGTTAGGATCTTTTTTCGAGTCTTTTTATATGGGTGCTGTGTTCTTCTGGGGACCTGAAAAGGGACCCATCCTACCTGCTGGAGGATCATGGGACTTTGTATTAGACATACCTTCCTTTGTGGGTAGGCAGACATAAGTGTATAAGTATATAGTTATACCTTTTCATAATTTGAGTGATAGAAAATAATTGCACACGAAAATTTACCTGATCTACAACGCTATACCCAAACCCTCCAGGTACCTACTATATAGGGTACTAGAGCCCCTAGGGCCCTATATAGTAGGTACCTGGAGGGTTAGGGTTATAGTTACTAAGTCCCAAGTAGCACCTGCCGAGGCTCGTGCTGCTCTTTCGCTTGGGTACGGCACCCAGTGGAGCGAAGCAACTGAGACTCCTTTTAAAGCAAGATAGGCAGTTAATGAAGGGTCCGGATGACTAATCCGAAAGGGTTTTTCGCATTTCAGACTTAGTTTAGGGTTGAGTTTCAGGCTGTAGGTTTCAGGGTTGCGGGCGCTTGAACGTTGGGTTCTGCAAAGGCGCTATGAGGATTGCTGTGCGGTTACTACAAAGCTAGGCGGATACTACGAGGATTCAAACCACGACCTGTACCCTCCCAGCGATGGCATCGCCTCCGTAGCTTTGCACATTCTGGTCGGCGGTGAATCCTTAGAGCGATTATATTGCAAGTCTTGATTAATCTGCAGCCTAAAACCTTAAACCCTGACGCCCCAAACCCCGAAATAAATCCCAGACGGCAACCCTGATGGTCCCGGATGTAGCGCTTACACGAATCTTAAACCTAAAGAAAAAGCTACGCGTAATCCCCAACATAATCTCTGAGCGCCGAGTCTTTTTACAACCTCTCCGCGCCAAGGACTGCAGCCACCGGCCGAATCAGATATCAATGGATCGAGCCTACTTGCGCAGGTTGGGATAGATTGCCTACAGCGCCCCTGTGTAAAGTTGTTACAGGCTTGTAGATGGATGTTTTTTGGGTCCCGGATCTCTTCAGGGTGTTGTTGTAGAGAGGGCTGTTTGTACGGATTTGAAGGGTACGGGTTTGGGCTGAATCTGCGGATTGCCCAGGGGCTTTAGAATCCTCAAAGAGGTATCCCACAGTATGAATACGAGTTGATTATTGGGAGTTAGAGATTTAGGATGTCCGCTCCAGCTTGAACTGCAAGGTTGCGAGTCTTTAAGATTTGTGTTCGTGGCTTCCACTAATAAGTTCTGGTTGGAGGCTCCGAGATTCGCAGAGTTTAGGGGCTCATAGCTTAGAGTTTAGGCCTTCGGGTCTAGAGTCTAGAGCACTTGGAGTCTTGTTTGCGGGACTTCGAAAACGAGTTGATCTGCAACGTTCCGGGTCTCGGGGAGCGCAAGGAAAGCTAAGACAGCGCAAAGCTCGGACTCACGACGCTCCTCGTCGTCGTTGTTGCAATCGTAGTAATACTAGCAGCAGCAGCAGCAGCAGCAGCAGCAGCAGCAGCAGCAGCAGCAGCAGCAGCAGCAGCAGTAGCAGTCGCAGTCGCAGTCGCAGTCGCAGTCGCAGTCGCGGTCGCGGTCGCGGTCGCAGTAG